ATATATATATATATATATATATATATATATATATATATATATATATATATATATATATATATATATATATATATATATATTTAACAGACTCACCCGCACCATCCAACGTGCTAGCCGAGACGAATGTCCCTGTGTATGCCAAGTTTAGGTGGATGCCATCCACAACCACGATGGGTCTATAATGATCGAACCCCTTTATAAAAGCATACAACGATATATACAAATACATGAACTCATTTTTTGGGTAATTTTACCATTCTAATATGCGAACCAGGATATGTCATATCCAGTGTATATAAGTACCCTGGTAATTTATTGTAGGAATCAGCCGGTTCACCTCTCAAAAAATTCATTGCCTTTTCTTTAGCCCGCCACGCCAACATGTAACTAACATCTACACCAAAGTCTGATTTCACATCATTAATTATATCCTTTGGGGTGTATTTCCTTTTATGATTAGCAAACTTGGACCTAATTATACCACCAATAAGGCTACTACTTGCTTGACGTTGCTCATACACCTTATCCTTCAACGGACATGTATGCTTATCATTGAACTCCCTCACTTTGAACATTTGTGATTTATTAATGCTAGAAACCTTAAATCTCCATTCACAATCCTCTGAAATACATAATAATATATAGCTGCAAATACATTTATGTAATACATACGATTAGTTATGTATGGATATAAAATATAAACAGAAACTACAACTGATTTGTCTACATACACCCAGCATTTTCTTTGCCAACAAAGTTGTCTATATGAAAACATACAATGAAATACAATGTTTGTTTTTTTGAATACACTATACCTTTTTTTTTAAATACATGTGAATACAGTGTTACATATATATACATGATATAATTGTTTCAGAAAACTCAAGTACAGAAACACTAATACATGAGCATGTAGTATGAAAACAAACTCTGAAACACTACTACAACTGATTTGTCTACATACACCCAGCATTTTCATTTGCCAACAAAGTTGTCTATATGAAAACATACAATGAAATATAATGTTTGGTTTGTTAATATACTATAACTTTTTTTTTTCAATACATATGAATAAAGTGTTACATATGTACACATGATTACAGAATATACTTATATACATGTGAATACAATGTTACATATGTATACATGATTACAGAATACACTTATATACATGTGAATACAGTGTTGCATATGTATACATGATTACAGAATACACTTATATACATGTGAATACAGTGTTGCATATGTATACATGATATAATTGTTTCAGAAAACTCAAGTATAGAAACACTAATACATGAAAAATAGAACAAATGAAATCATATATTATGAAATACATATATTATGCCTTGGTAAGCCCCAATACTTCACCACGTTCTTAAAGAATAGTTTGGCGGCTTCCTTGGCAGTGCAACCTGGTGAGGCGGGCATGAAGGTGGCATATTTGGAAAACCTATCCACCACCACCATAATAGTACTATAACCGCCGGACTTCGGTAGGCAAGTGATAAAGTCCATAGTCACACTCTCCCATGGACGTTCTGCAACTGGTAGTGGCTCCAAAAGTCCTCCTGGTTTTTGTTGCTCAACCTTGTCCTGTTGACAGACAAGACAAGTCTGCACATAACACTCTATGTCATCTCGCATGCATGGCCAATAGTAGACTTACTCAACCAAGGCCCTAGTGCGATGTTGGCATGGATGACCAACCCACATTGTTTTATGACTCTCACTTATGATCCGCCGTCTAATGTCTCCAAACTTAGGCACGTAGACCCGCCGACCAAAAATGTCTCGTTTTGCCATGGTTGGCTAACTCGATAAGTTGTTTGGCTGTTGGATCATGTTGCATGTCTTCTTTTATAGCCTCACGAATGTCCTATCTTGTTGAAGTGATTGTAGCAAGCTCGGATTTCCGGCTCAAAGCATTGGCTACAACGTTACCTTTGCCCGGCTTATACTCAAGCACATAATTAAATTCGGCCAAGAAATCCTGCCACCGAGCCTGTTTTGGGATGAGCTTCTTCTGCGTTTGAAAGTAGCTAGTAGCTACATTGTCGGTCTTGACCACGAACCTCGACCCAAGCAAATAATGTCGCCATGTACGAAGAAAATGCACAATAGCAGTCATCTCATTCTCTTGCACTGTGTAACGCCGCTCCGTCTCATTTAACTTGTGGCTCTCAAATGCTGTGGGATGCTTATCCTGCATCAAGACACCCCAATGGCAAAATCTGAGGCATCTGTATGCACCTCAAATGTCTTGGAAAAGTCAGGTAATTCCAAGACTGGCTCCTCTATTACAACTGCCTTGAGGTTTTCAAACGTCTTTTGACAATGTTCCGTCCAAACCCATGGCTTGTTCTTCTTTAGAAACTCAGTCAATGGTGCGGCCTTTGCTGAGTATCCACTGATGAACCGACAATAGTAGTTAACAAGGACAATGAAGGATCTCAACTCAGTTACCTTTATAGGTGCCTCCCATTCCTGGATAGCATGTACCTTAGCCTCTTCCATGCGTAGCTCGCCATTTCTAATAACATGGCCTAAGAAGTGCAACTTTGATTGTGCAAACTCGTATTTCTCCCTCTTGATGTATAGCTCGTTCTCCAGCAAAACTTGAAAAACCTTTCTTAAGTGCTCCATATGCTCCTCCGAGATGTTGCTGTAGATGACTATGTTGTCTAGGTAGACTACCACGAATTGATCAAGGTAGGGATGAAATATCTTGTTCATAAGGGTGAAAAATGTGGCTGGTGCATTGGTTAAGCCGAAGGGCATCACCAACCACTCAAAGGCTCCATATCTCGTCACACATATTGTCTTCGGCTCATCCTCTTCTGCAATGCGAACNTCAAGGTAGGGATGAAAAATTTTGTTCATAAGGGTGAATAATGTGGCTGGTGCATTGGTTAAGCCGAAGGGCATCACCAACCACTCAAAGGCTCCATATCTCGTCACACATATTGTCTTCGGCTCATCCTCTTCTGCAATGCGAACCTGGTAGTAGCTCTTGCGAAACTCCACCTTGGTAAAGTACTTAGCTTGCCCAAGTTTATCGAACAAGTCAACAATGAGCGGGATCAGGTACTTATTCTTCACTGTGACCTTATTAAGTGCTCGGTAATCTATGCACAAGCGCATTAATCCATCCTTCTTCTTCTGAAATAATACTGGTGCATTGAAAGGTGCCTTTGATGGGCGAATGTGACCAACATCTAGCAGCTCTTTCAATTGTTTCCTGAGCTCCTCTAGCTCGGGCGGTGCTATATGATATGGGGAAAATGCGGGTGGCTTAGCCCCTGGCTCCAACTCAATCTTGTAATCCACCTCTCGCCTAGGCAGAAAATGCTTAGGCAACTCCTCGGGTATGACATCTTTGTTTTCCTCAAGCAACTTCTCTATGCAAGGAGGCAGTGTCTCTTGAAAACTCGTCTTCCTCCAGACTTGTGATGGTTGCCACGAACGTCGGCTCCCCTTTCTTGATCCCCTTGACAATCTGCATAGCTGAGAGTTGTGCTTGGCTCTGTCCGTGTGTCATAGTCATTGTAGGTACTATGCAAGCTCCTTCTCTCTCCATAACCAAGAGATGTTGGAGGTAGGGTTCGATCAAAGTATGAAAATGTCAAAAGAACTCTTGCCCCAATATGATGTCAAAGATATCCATATCAGTTACAGTAAAGTTTATCATACCTTTCCAAGTTCCTAATTTGACACCAACTCCGTTAGCTACCCCATGAGTATTCTGTACTTCGTCTATCACAGTCTTAACGCGAGAGTTGGTTGGAGAAATCTTCAATTCTAGTCTCTTTGCGGCAGCCTCAGTCACAAAATTATGAGTTGCTCCAGTATCTACCATTGCACGAGCAGGCTTGTTGTTGATGGTGAGATCCACGTACTGATTGCCATTCTCGGTAGGTTGGATAGATTCTTTGTCTTTGCCTTTGTTGTGCTTATCATGCCTGAAATCCATCAATGATTCGGCCTCCACTATGGCTTGGTCTATATCTGCGACTTGCCGGCGTTGCAACTCCTGTTTAGCCCAATTTTTGAAACACGTCCATGAAGTGGAACAACAAGTCATCATTGGCCAGGTTGGGGATTTGAAGCATAAGGGTAGTGAACTCCTTAACATAGACACATATGCTCCCTATTTGCTTCAACTCCCTAAGCTTGCGCCTTGCCTCGTACAAGACATTGTTTGGAAAGGACTGTCGCGTGAACTCGGCTTTGAACTGATCCCACGTGCTAATAGTACATAGACCTTTATCCTATCGGCTATCTTCCTTATCTACCATAGCATGGCAGTCTTTGAGAGGTACAACACTGCAGTGTTGATCATGGCCTCGTCATCCCTCACTTTGCCGTGCCTGAAGTAGTTCTCCAAGTGCCAAAGGAAGTTTTCCACTTGTGCATCACAAACATTGACATGTTCCTTGAGTGACTCTATCTTTGCCTTCATAGCATCGATAGAACTCAAAGCCTCCATGAGTCTGCATTCTAAGGCAGTGATGGTTTGCCTTAGTTCCATCTCGGTCTGTGTACGTCCCTCCAAGTCATTTCGGATACTCTCAATATCTTCAAGAGTGTGCCCCTCAAGAACGCTAAGGGTGCCTTCCACCTTCCCCAAGCATTGGCCAAAGATCTCCACGACGTCCATCCCCGCGTTTATTTTCATCACCCACTCTTTACAGAGCGAGAAGTCTTCGGGCAGGACCTCCACTTCATCCTCGCTCGCCTCAGTGGCAGATGGTTCTTGGGATGTAAGCTATTCGTTTGACACAACGTCGGGTGGTACCTCCTGGCTCTTGTTGGTGGCATTTCTCTTTTTGTTACGGTCGCTCTTGCCAGCAGTATCCTGGATGACGTTGGCTTGGGTGTTGGCAGCGTTAATTTCTCCGTCGTTCGTCATTCCCTTAGTTGCAACCTTTGCTCTGATACCACGTTGTCACGTCCTTAGTAGTTAACTAAGTACACGTGCGGCACTTGACAACTCGCTCACGATCTTGCACAACTTGCTCACGTTTTTGTTATGCCAAGTCAGCCTTACTACAGTCAAGATCGCTAAGAGAATGGTAGAAAGAACACAAGAGAATTGTTAAAGGAAGCTTTGTATTAGAGAGAAGTTGAATTGTTTGCTTGGTGAAATACAAATGAATGGCCCCCCTTTATATACTAGTCTCCTAGGGGCTAGTGTGTAAATATTAATTGTTACACAAGTCCTTAATATTTACAAGATAAGAGTTTTTTCTAGAATTCTCTACAAACCTAGAAGATTCTAAGGACTTTCCTAGCAAATCCATAGGGATCTAGGGTCTTCCAAAGGAAATGTTCATACTTCTCTAGAATCTTCTCACAAATGCTAGTCTTCCTCCTATGTAAGCTTCCACATGTCATTAATATCTGTCAAATGGTGCCTATGTAGCATGATGACATGGCGGGTCATCACAAAAAGCTCAAAAAATTGAGATAAAAGATAATTGAGTTTTTTGGCCAAATAGATATGCCACATCGCAGTCAATGGCCTTCAATTATATATATATATATATTCCTTAATAACAGGTAAAAATCAAATTTCTGTCCCAGTGTGCTTTTCTGTAAGAGATCTCAGTGTTGCAATGTCTTTACTAGATCAGTCATATAATAACTTAATATATTGCATAACCATTCCAGAGAATGACTTATTAGCAGAGGTGCTTATTATAATCAATTAAGGCCGAATCTACACTGTGCCTGAAAGTATTAAGATTGTCTGTTTCCTTAGAATAGTGACGGAATATCAATTTGATTTCTTTTAAAACTTGGCTTTGTACGTCATTTACTTTGTTTTGGTTATTAAGTCGACTTTTGCCTACTTTTGTCCTTTTTTATTTGTCGTCTCTTCCAAATTGCACCTATCTTCAGACACTCTACCTTTCTAACTAACCACTTCATATTTGCATTAGTTGTCATTAATACAAATTTTCTCTATGCCGTCACTACTAAAACACATTGGAGTGGAGGGAGAATGTGATTCTCTCTATTTTTCAAAGTGATCTAAGAGCTGTATTAGCAAAACAGGATACTTAATCTTCATCTTATGAAAAGAATAAGTGGATTTAAAATCAAAGCAGTATTTTAAGTATTGATGTCTAAGTTCAAATCTAAAGTAGGTAAATCACTACTTACTAATTCCTGTTGAGGAGTTTTGGCCATTTCCACGTTATTGGTGTTTTTCTTCCCTTTCTTTTGATGTACTCTTTTGGTAGTCAGTCGGAGTCAATCTTTGTCAAAGTAGCATCAACTTAAAAAGCTTTTGGCTTCTAATAATAGTGGGAAGGAAATGCGGGAAAGAATTCATTATCACTAAGAAAGCAAAAAATGGACCTCGACTTTTGCGTGCACACAAGAAGTCACTGTATCATGTGTGACCTATGTAAAATGTCGCATTTTCTCGACTTCCAAGACAGTGATGAAGCTAGAAATTTAATAAAGAAAATCCAAGAAAATGCAATAATGCTATACTTGAAGTTTGAATCTGCAACCTAAAGTAATTTTTGAGTCAGTTTTGCCATTACACTAGAAATGTCTCTTGTTGTTTAAAGGGAATACACGATCAACTTATAAATACTGTACTTCTCAACTCATGAGAAAGCCAAGTTATGTGATCAAGAATTGAAACAAGAAAAGCCGGCAGCTTAGTTCGTCCATACCTACCCAATTACTTCCACGAGGCATTTCTATAGACACTTCGTACAAAACATATGCAAATTAATATTCCTTTGTTAATACTTGACACTATTATATATGTGCCCAAACTTACTTGA